CGGCCAGCCCAGTAGCAGAGTCCGACTCACTCCCCTCCGTCCGTGCCCCTCAGCGGGCGGCGCCCACCAGGCGATGGCGGCGAGCCCGGGTCGCCCCCTGGAGGCGAGTCTCAGGGCGAGGTGAAGAGTTCCAAGGCGTTGGTTGCGAGCTTGGGTGACGCGCACGCCATCTCGGACAGCAGCCTGGCGGCCTTCGAGGAGGCGGCCTTTGCAGCTGCAGCGCGTGCCAGGCAGTCGGCGGCCCACAAGTCCCTGCAGCGGCTTCGGCAGTGGATCGGATCGGGCGAGGCCACGCCGTTGGTTTTTTTCGCTCCATTCGGGAGCGGCACCTGGCAGCAGATGAGGTCCTGGTGGGCAGCAGCATCCTGGTGCATCCCAGTGCGATCCTCGACCACAAGGCGGCCGCTTGGGAGAAGCTGTGGTCGCCCCACCCCGTCAAGCGCGAGGAGGTCTGTAGCTTGTTCGAGGACCTCCGCGAGCAGGTGCAGTATGAGGAGATGGACCGCATTACGGTTGCCGACATCCGCACTGCCCTCCAGCGCATGCGGCCCCAGACTGGCAAGGGCGTGGACCAGTTCACGGTGTTGGATTTGGCGAGGCTGCCCGACCCTGCGCTGCAGGAGTTGGCCGATCTTCGCTTCTGCTGAGCGGGCCGCCTGCTGGCCCAAGCAGCTCCTCCTGGTGCTGGGCCATGTCCTCGAGAAGAAGGGCGGCGGTGAGCGCATCATCGGAGTCTTGGGCATGGTCACGCGCTGCTGGAGCATGGTCCGCGAGGAGAGCATGCGGGACTGGGCGAGGCGCACGGCCCCAGCCTGGGACGCTGCCGTCGCGGGCAACTCAGCACTTCGCGAGGCCTTTGCCCGCGCGGTGAGCGAGGAGGCCTTCGCTGCCATGGGGGTCTCGCACGGCCACGGCCTGATCGACGTCCAGAAGTTCTACGACAGCATGCCTTGGACGGGGCTCGCTCAGGCGGCGCTCCGCTGCGGGTTCCCACCCGCTGTCCTGGTATTGGAATTGCAGCAGCGTATGGCGAGCAGGGTGCTCTTGCAGGATGGCATGGCGTCTCGGTTCGTTGTCCCATCTCAGTCGGTAGTGCAGGGCGTCAGGTCGGGCACGAGGTTCGGTCGTTGCATGACGTACCACACGCTGCAGCAGCTGACCTTAGGGTCGCCCCAGCTCCTGCCCTCGCGGATCTGGGTCGACGACCTGTCGGTGTCCTCCGTTGGCACGAGGCAGTCCGTCGTCGACGCCGTCTCGAAGGGCATCATCGACTTCGGCTCGGGCATGCAGCAGGCTGGTCTGCAGATATCCCCCAAGAGCGTCGCCGTCTGCTCGCAGCTGGAGGATGCGCGGCGCATTGCCCAGGTCGTCAAGCAGCATGGCCTTGCCGTCCAAGCGGCGAGCCACGGCACATGCCTCGGCGTCGATCTTGCAGCGGGCCGCCGCCTTGTTCGTCGCGCGATCGTCAAGCGCATGGGCAAGTCTCGCATCGCCAATAGCCGTCTTCGAGGCATGGCCCGTGCTTCGCGGCAGTACCAGAAGTGCGGATACGTCGAGAGGGTCGGGCTGCAGGCGGCGGCGACCTACGGGCATGAGGTGTCCGGCGTCTTCGGCAGCAGGCTGGCAGAGCTCCGTCGAAGGCTTGCCTCAGTCTCAGGAGCTGCTAGGCGAGGGCGTTGTCCCACCACGCAGTTGGCACTTCGCGCCGGCCCTCTCGACCCTGCCAGGCGCCTGCCTCGCGCCCTGGTCAAGTGCTGGTTTGATGTCTGGAGGAGTTGCCAGGAGTTGAGAAGGCGAGTGGCGAGGGCCTGGATCCCGATTCACAGTCGGCTCCGCGAGGCCGAACCTGAGTGCAGGTCGAGGTTGGTGCGTGGCCCTATCTCTGCCCTCCAGGCCCTCCTCCTGCAGCACGGCTGGGTGCCCGTCGGCCCCATGGGCTGGGAGCGCGGCCTGCAGGACGGCTCTCGTGAGCGGTGGGCCTTCCCTGACGTGGCCAGCATCACAGACGGCTCGTTCAAGGCTGTCCTCGACGCGCGCGACGATTCCATCCAGGAGGATCTCTGGCAGCGTGCTGCCACGCACTGGTGCGGTGCAGGCCTGGAGACTGGCGCTGATCTTCGGTCTCTTCAGGCGCACCTCCAGCGGTTCAGACGTCTACCTGGGGGGGCCCTGCGTTAGAGGAGCTGCTTGCCACCATTGCGGTGGGTGGAGCCTGGCCGAGGTCGCGCAAGAAGGAGATCTTCGGTGACATCGAGTGCGCCAACTGCCCACGGTGTGGTGGCGAGGAGGAGACTCCCTTCCACAGGTTCTGGAGTTGTCCTTGCAACGTCGGCAGCAAGGCCTACGACGACAGCAGCGAGCTCCTGCCCCGCGCGGCCGCGGACCAGGAGGCGCACGCAGCCTTCTGGCTGCGCGGCATCATCCCTCGCTGCTGGACTGAGGTCGCCGCCCCCCGCGACCACGACCTCTGGACGCTCTTGGATGGCCAGCAGGCTGCCGTGGTGGCCCCAGGGGCGCTGGGGCAGGGCACCGAGGAGGCCCCGCTCGTCCTCTTCGGCGATGCCAGTGGAGGACCAGAGGGGCAAGTCCCGCATCTTCGACGTGTGGGTCTCGCAGTTGCTCGTGTCCATCTGGTCGACGGAGGTCTCGAGCAGGCAGCGTGGGCGGCCTCAGCGGCAGCATGCAGACCGTCCACCGCGGTGAGCTGCGGGCGCTCGTGCTTGCCGCACAAGGCTCACTTGGCCCCACGGTTTACATCTCGGATAATCTGGCCGTCTGCGAGGGCTGGTGGAGGCGCTTTGATTTGCAGCCGCACGGCGATGACAGCGACCTGTGGAGCCTCCTCGCGCAGACCTTTCGCAGCAGGAGCAGGCCCAGATCAGACTTCGTCGTGGAGCACGTGTACTCGCATCTGGAGATGTCCGAGGCTTTCGAGTTGCAGGTCCCTCCATGGCTGGTCATCGGCAACGCGGTCGCGGACATCCTGGCTGGGGCAGCAGCGGACGCTGTACGCGCCGCTGCCCATGAGCGGGCTCGGGTCCACCAGACGGAGCACATGGCCACGCTGGTCAGGAGAAGGCTGCTGCGGGCCACCCTCGACGCCATCGAGGCGGAGAACGGCCTGGCCCCTGCAGTGCGGCGTGGCAGGAGGCGGAGGCGTGCTCCCCTTGCAGCCAGTCTTGTCGCTGCTTTCGGCACGTCCCATGTGCTGGACAGCCGCGGCAGCTGCTTGAGGCGCAGGTGTTCAGCATCGCGGTCATCCCGTTCGCAGTGGCTGGAGGCACGGTGCCCTGAGGTGCAGCGAGATGGAGCCCACACGCTCAAGCTGGCTGATGACGACGTGCACATCGGCGGAGGCCGCCCTCACCCCTCGCATGTGATGCGGCTGCACCAGAACCTCGACGTCTGGTTTTGCCTGAAGTGTGGGTTCTTCGCGGCGGCAGCTGGCCGCTTGTTGGGGCGGGGCCTTCGCGCGTGCTGTCCTTCGGCCACTTCGAGGACTGGACGAGACTACCTCCAGCGGATCGCCCGCGGACTTTGGCCGAAGGTCGCTGGACGGCGTCGGTTTGCCCACGCTGGAGAGGGCATCCTGCTCGGCCCCAAGAAGCAGGCTGCCCGCCGACGTGCCGCGCGAGCGGCCGCTGCTCGGGCTGCAGCCGCTTCAGGGCAGGTGAGCCAGCCCAGGCCGATGGAGCTGGTGGCCCTGGACGCTGAGCATGTCCCCTCCGTCATCGGCGACCCCCTCGCGCTGGACGGCGGCACGGCAGACCCGCGGAGGCCAGTCCCGCTGGGAGCGGCCTCCTCGGGTCCAACGACATCCTCCGACAGTTGGCCGCGGCCTGTGATAATTTGCGGCAGTCACGACGGTGTTGCGGCGGAGTCCGCCAGGAGTGGGGAGCCTGCGTCGGGCTCCCGCTCCCCCTGTCCTGCTGGTGATCGGGCAGATGTTCCTCCTCGCGGAGGTGGAGTCCATCGTGCTGGCATCCCCTTGGCAGGGGCTCCTGTCAAGAAGCTGAAGGCGTTCGACGAGAAGGTTCGCTGGCTCCTAGAGGCGGCCAGCGGCAAGCGCCCCAGCCCCGACCTGGACATGAACGAGGCCCGAGTCGAGAGCACTCCTCGGGCCAAGCGGCTGCGGGCCGAGGACGTGGCCAGCGGGCCCGAGGCGGAGTTGGCTGCTGGGCTGCCCTGAGGCCGCTGGCCTCCCGCCTCCTCGGCCGCGGCCCCCGCGGCGTCCGCGCCGCAACCGAGCCGCGTGCGCCCTGACGCGCGCGTCCTCGGAGCGCCCTTCACCTCAACCTCCTCCTCCCCTCCTCCTCCTCCTCCTCCTCCACCTCCAACCTCCTCCTCTCTCCTCCTCTTCCTCCTCCTCATCCTCCTCCTCCTCCTCCTCCTCCTCCTCCTCCTCCTCCTCCTCCTCCTCCTCCTCCTCCTCCTCCTCCGTGTCTCCTCGATCCCCAGGTTGTGCCTTGCCCTCGGCCGTGGAGAGAGGCGGCACGTCGCAGGAGGCACTCGGCGTGGAGCCGCGCGGGCGACGTGGCTCGGTGTCGCCCGCCCCGCGCTGCCAGGCGCGGGGGGGCGGTGGCGGCACGGCGCGCGTGCTGTCTGCGACCGCACGGACCATGCGAGGGAGCGGGAGGGGAAGGAGGCAGGCGGATGGGAGGGGGGGGGAAGAGGAGGTGGAAGGAGGGAGAAGGAGAGAGAGGAAGAGGAGGGGGACAGCGAAGGGGAAGAAGAGGAGGGAAGGACAAAAGGAGGTGGAGGGAGAAGGAGGAGGTGGAGGCCCGCTGCAGGCTGCCGCCTAGAGTTGGTCTGACGTCAACGAGGAGGAGGAGGAGGAGGAGGAGGAGGAGGAGGAAGAGGTAGGAGCAGCATGGATGGGACTGGAAGCAGTTGATGCTTCGCCGTGTTTAGGGTGTTGCAGGTCGTTCGAGCTCGTCTGGCATGGTCGATGCCTGAGGGGCGGTTCTTTTGCCCGCTGTCCTCCCGCCTGTGCCCGCCAGGCGCGGAAGGCCCTGGCGGCCGTCGCCACGCGCAGGGCTCAGACCGATCGCACTGCAGGCGCACGCCTCCGCTCTGGCCTGGCAGACGCGAACCTCCGGCCTCGCTTCATCCGCCCTGCCTCCGCCCCGCCCCCCGCCCCCCCCCCCCCCCACTATTTTTTATTTTTTTTTTTTATTTTATTTGGTGTTTTTTTTTTTTATTTTGTTATAGTATTTTTATACTTCTTTATTTTTTAGGTTTAGTATTTTTTTTTTTATTCTTTTATTATCTTTTATTCTTTTTTTCTTTTTTTTTTTTTTTTATTTTTATTTATTTAGTTTAGCTCCTTATTTTATTATATAGCTTTGTTATTTTACCTTTTTTGACTCCTATCCTCTCCTACTTCCCTCTCTTTATTTTATTCCCTTATCTTTATTCCTTATTAGTGTTTTTTTATATTTCTCTTTTATTTTTCCTTTTCGATGCTCGGGGGCGGAAAAGAAGGGGGTGATGACTAGGGGGGGGGGGATATCATGGCGGGGGCCATGATATTTCCCCAGATTTCATGGCGCCTTTTCTTGTTTCATTACACGTCCCTGGCCCCCCCGCTGGGCCGCGCACATGCCGCCGGTCATGATTTGCACCTCCCCCTCTTGGGCACCCCGCTCTTGGCCGCTCCCGAGATGCAGCCGGCCGGGCGCGCCCTCTCGCCCTCGGCATAGAGCATGTGTGTCCCTCCCTCGTCCGGCATTCGGCCGGATAAAGGCCCCCGGGCGCCGGAGGCCCCAGAAGCATCCCCCGCTCCGTTTTGAAAGCGTTTGGCGGCATCTCTGCGCCGATCACGATCGCAAGCACACACATACACACATACACACACATGCATACATTTACGTATATGTGGAGGTGTATATATTTAAATATATATATATAAGATGTATATGCGTATATATATATATATATATATATATATATATATGTGCGATGCCCCTCTTCCTCGCGTGTCCTTCCCGTTTCTTTGTTGCGCTCCTCTTTCTAGTTTTCTCGTCCTCCACGTGGTCAGTTGACCGGCCGCGGCGGGCCGGGCCGTTGGCTGCGCGCGGAAGCGCGCTTGGGCAGGCAGCTTGGTGGTTTCTCAAGTGTGTCTCGGAGCATGGAGCGTCGGTTTGGAAATGGAAGGCGGAAGGTTCAAGCGGACTGATTGCCAGAGTTTTTCAAACCAGGGATTGCGCGCGAAAGCGCGGTGGCAGGACGCATTGCTTGAACGAGCAGGGCGAAGGACCCAGCCATCTGCAGTTGTGAGCAACGCAGTTGTGAGCATCGTCTTCGGTGGGGTCCCCCTATGGGGCCACGAAGCGTGTAGGGACTGTACCAACATGTGCGCGGCGGGCGCATGCGAACGCAGCCACTGGGGCCTTCGGTGAAGCTCCCTGTGGGGCCACGAAACGTGTGAGGTGTTCTGCCGAAATGGGCGCGGTTGGCGGATGCGAACGCATTCACTGGGACCTTCGGTCAAGCTCCCTGTGGGGTCACGAGACTTGTGAGGGTTGTGCCGAAATTGGTGCGGCAGGCGCATGCGACCACAGCCGCTAGGGAATTCGTCGGAGCTCCCTACAGACAGTCAGGTCAACTTGGTACGATTTGCCTAGACTGAAAGCGTGACTGAATTCGCCCGGACTGGAAGCATGACTGAATCAACGCGCGACCGGGTTCTGAACCTCAAGCAGGTGCCAGCGACGACAGCGACGACGCCGCGGCGACTGCGAGATCCAGTGATCAGAACGCGCGACGGCCAAAACATCCGAACCCAGAGGAGCAGCTCAGTCAAGTTGAAGACGGAGCCGCCTGAGGAAAGTTCTGGAAGGGGCCGCCTGAATAAAGTTCTAGAAGGAGCGCCTGGGCAAAATTCTGGAAGGCGCCTCCCCCCCTGTCGCGCCTGCTCCGTGCCCTGGCGGAAGTCTTCCTCGGAGTCCTTCGCTGACTTTAGTCAACATTATACAAGGGTACAGGGGTCCGACAGGATCCGTGCCAAACACATCATGCGCCCACCACTCGGATCCGTCCAAAAGCCATCGAATTCGCATTGGACCCGCCCAACAAGCATCGGATCTGCATAGGCTCCGTAGCGTATCCGTACTCGGATCCGACGCCCGAGGCGAGGGTGACACTCCCGAACGGGGACCTTCGTCAACGTCTGCGGGGGCCCTACATTCTTTGTCGGGCACCCGACGCTGCGCCCATCGCCCGCGACCTGCCGCGAAACCTTTTTTTCCAAGGCTGACTGGGCCGACGGGGAGGGGGGGAAGGAAGGAGGAGGCAAACCAGGAAGGAAGAGAAGGGAAGGAAGCGGGAGGGAGGGAGGAGGGAGGAGGGGGGAGGCAGATGGAGGGGGGGAGGAGGAGGAGGAGGAGGAGGAGGAGGAGGAGGAGGAGGAGGGAGAAAAAGAGGACAAGGAGGAGGAAGGGAGGAGGAGGAGGAGGAGGCCGGAGCGGTCGTCGTCTTGGAGGGCAGTCCAGACAATTC